GTGCTCGGCTGGGCCGGCGGCTGGGGTCTTCTCACTTTCCTGCCGCTCCCCCTTCACACGGCCGTAGTAGGGATGGGCCTCCAGCGCCGGGCCGTCATGGTGGGTCAGGATGGGTGCTTTGTGCGGGGTGACTTTATTCAGCCACTTGTCCAGCTGCCACTTGTTGGATGAGGGCGGCTCGGGCTGAAAGGGAAACAGATGGCAACGAGCTTAGTGCTGAGACCCGGCTGCCCTCACCCTGGGGCTCCCTCAGGGAGACCGAAACGCCGGGTCCCTCCTGGTACCGCAGAGATTTTCCTCTGGTCAAAGAGCCGCCCCCAAGCCGCGTCAACCCCCTGGCACTGGTCCTGTGTGGTGGGGTGGGAGACATGGGGCATGCCATGCAAGTGGGGCTATTTTCGGTTTCTGAATGAGGTTGGGAAGGAGGACGGCTTCCGTGATTCATCATTTCTAAGGATGATTCACGCAGCACTACTGGCATCGGCTTTACTGGGAAACGCTCCCAAGTTTCCAAACAGAAAAGAATATAATGGCGATAGGAAAGGAGGAAAACAAGGCAGGGGTATGGCTGAGGCTAAGGGAGGATAGCTAGTAGGAAAGCTAGCGATATGTATTTTGTGTCCTGCGCCACTGCAATAAATATGAAAAGTATTTAAAAAGCATACAAAGAGGCATGTAGTGGGGAGCTGGAGGGCTAACCAGGCGGTTCATGTAATCTGTCTGATATTGACGTTATAATCCTGTGAGATTCCACAAACATTTGTTATGTGGTGGTATTGTCAAGTGCTCATTTTGTGAGTATTGTGCGGCCGTTAGTTTTTCTCTTTGTTCCTGTCACAACACGATCAAGTTATAAGAGAGCTTCTAAAACATAATGGTGTTTGGACAGTGAAGAAGTGGGATAATTATGATTTCAAATGTAACCACAGCTCAGACAATGGTATTTCAGAACAATGTGCAAGTGTTTTCTAGTGCTTCTTGCAATCAGTAATTTGAATGTCATAAAATGAAGAGGAAAGGCAAAAAACCCCAAAAGAAATAAATGATGGAGTAGATGGCCAGCTATAACCTAAGCCCGCAGAAGCCAATGTGAAAAGTCTCCTAATTTCCCTAACTGGAACCAAAATTTGATCCAGTAGGCTATTGCATATGAATAATCAAAAAGCGTGTCATGAATCTAACATGAAAACTGTCAATGCTCTGGAAGAAAGTTTGCCTAAGAGAGAATATCCACAGTTTCTAACTTAAAAGAGTCTCTTAACTCCTTATTTAAAGTAGGTGCCTGAGGGCAACACAGGTTTCCTGCATAGCCAAGGGCATCTCCAGGATCACTGGGCTGTATTCAGTCTACATGGAGCAAAGGCTCCTAAAATAAGCAAAAAAGTTAGACATCGGAATTCATATAATACAAATATTCCTTCTCGCAAAAGTGTCTAATTTACTCATCATCGAGCTAGCCAATACCTATGGGAAGTCTGCTGGATTGCCTTAAGTTTATTTTTTTCTTAAGCATACTCCCTAATAACTTACATGAGGAATTTCTTTCCTGAGCTGTAAATCTTGAAAATGGATGGGCAGTATTTCTTTTGGATGAAGATATATTTTTACAACTCTTAACTCTTTATCTAAAATAAACAGCATTTTTTTGATTGCTGCTGAAAATACAGATAGATTTGTTTGGTGCCATTCATTGTGCACATACTGAATTTACTAGATATATAATAAAAGGTTCACTATACAGGGAAGTCTTTCCACTGTTCAGGTGTATTTAAGAAAAGGACGTACATCAGAAGCACGTGGGGAAAAATACACCTCTGCCCATAAGTATAGGTCAGAGTGAGGGCAGCTTGAAAATTCAAAAAAACTTCCAGCTTTTCTGTTACATCCCATTCTGTCTCTTTATGTACCTTGTAATTCTTGAAAACAGTGGTTCACAAAATATGGATTCCAAGGGATCACAGTAAACCAGCAGAAAACAGTGATTAACTGCTACGGTGTCGTAACTTGGCAACGTGGTACTTTCCTAGAGTGCTATGTCTGCTATTTAGGCAGAATAACTGCAGTCCCACCAACCTATAAGCCAACTATGAAGTCTAATAAGAAGGATCAACAATGTTGCCAGCTTTACTAATTTTGTCAGGAGTTTCAGGACACTCATTATTTTTTCTTAAAGCCTCAGCTCTCAGAATCATGGGCTTAGATGCACTTCTGGGATTTATTTAAATAAAAATTCAAATCCTTGTGGCTACTGAAAAAAAACCCCTTAAGATGTATCTGATAAAAAAACCCTTTAAGATGCATTTGCTAAAAGTAAAAAGTCTGCAGCCCATCAGGTAAATTAAAAGAACCCAAATTTAAAAAATCAGAATTCTAAAACTTTTCTCACTATTTTTGGGTCCTGATACAGTTTTGGAATATTTGAGATTGTCAGTGTACATGAGTGATGCCAATTCACTTTCGGAAGTAATTTATTCAACTGATTGCTCTAACAACTGAAAAGTACTGTACTTTGAAATCCTTTAAAAAAACAAGGTACCTTGCGAGAGAACGAAATCATGACAGCCAAGAATGAAGAGCAGGCCTGGTAAAAAAAGGGATTGGGAAAATTCACTTGAAAGTTTTTGCCTGTCCACTTTACATGCCTAATGACAATTATTTGTGGGAGAAAAAGAAAATCCCTAATTCTCCAGTCCACATCACCCCGCTGAGCATGTCACATACCATTCTATGGAAGAAAAGTTGGTTTGCTCAAAGCGGTAAATTTTCAGCAGCATGTAAGATTGGAAATATATATGAAAATATATCCAGAGTGATCAAATAGCAGAATGGTCTCTGTCCCTTGTTTTTTGTGCCATGGAAATATGCTGCCCTCAAGGCCTTGTAGAGAACTGGGTAGTCTTTAATTGGGGTAAAGCTGGTGGTGCCCAGATGGGCAGTACTAATAGGAATAACAGACTGTGATAAAGCCGACTTGCAGTGAAATATGGGTTTGGCATGAAAACCCAAACCAGGAAACTTTACAAGACAAAGATAGTTTCAGGGACCAATGTACCACAGACATACACATGTGCCAGGCTTCATCGAGAAACAGAAGGATGTGATACACTTCCTTAAAAATTGTGGGTGGATTCATCTGTAGAACTTGGACAGCTATATCTGAGCTAGTCAATGAGTTCCTTCTCCAGTCAGTGGACTACTCTTCTAGGATGTGAAAAATTCCCTCTTGAAATAGACATCTGAAACAGGCCAGATGAGCTGGGCCCTAAAAAGGTCTATTCCTTTCCACCGACTGTGAAGGGGAGGCTGAGGTGATGAGCAGATGTAGGTATCTACAGTAGAAGTGTCCAAATTTAGGTGGGATGACTCCCACACAGCATGTCTATATATCTCAGATCTCTTCAAGGCTACAAGTGCAACCAGAGGCACGAGTGGCATGCTTCCAAAAGAAACCTTTGTCAAAACGTTATCCAGAAACACTTTCTGGGGTAAAGGGCTGTTAAACAATGTAAGTGTAATGGGGTCACTCTATGCTTGTTATGACAAAGAGGGACCTAAGGTGTAGCTAACACCATGGGAAACTTGAAGCATGACACCACTTTCATTGAGAGATTAGATAGCCTATAATATGTGCATGTACTTAGCCCACTGTGGGGTAGGACTGAGCTATCTGCCATCCCTGCAGTACACTCCGCCTATTGTAAATCCACATACTAGTTTACCCTTATGATAACTTGCTTGTGCTGCCCTGCTATTAAAGATTTCATTCAGGGCAATCCCCATAACAATGTGGTGCCTCTTCATTGTATTTAAGGCATAGATGATGATGATGAAGATGATGATGATTATTACTGCTACTACTTTATTGCTACTATTAGCACTGCTGCTAGCGCTTTATCAAATTAGAACTGGGGATTCCCATGTGTTAGGCACGGCACACATATACTGTCAGAGGTGGTTCCTCCCACAAAGAGTTTTCTGGAGGGAAGGGAAAGTTTAGTTTGTAGTCATTGTCAAAAGTAGTCCACAGGACACCTAAAGCCCACGAATCCTATTTGCAAAGGTAAAGATGTTGTCTACAGTTGGTCTAGTGGTAAAATCCCCATTTCTTCTGAGTGTACCAGTCAGGAAATCGAATCATGGCTATACATAAGATGGGAAGCAAAAACTTTTTGGAAAACCAGACAGATACAGAAAACATACCCCTCCTACCCCACAACCCTAAAATTACAACTCTTCTTCCCCTGCCTCCCTAGTGAAATCTATCAGTGAAGAAAGGCTGGTGAGGTGACAGGAGCACGCTCACCAGTTAGCTAGTCTGTTAGATACACACATTCTTCCTATTTCCTGAGCTAAAGAGAAGAGAGCCAATGCCAGAGAGCACCTGAGGGAACAGCAGGGATTCACAGGCAGTGGCTCCTCAGCCACTGGTACTGATGTCCAGGCACTGGAAGGACTTGATGCACAGTGGTCAGGTGGTGGCTCTCTGCTGATGAGAGAGGAGGGTGGGGAAGAGCATAACCCTACAAATCACTTCAGCTTTGACCTGGTCAGTCACAACATAGGGACTTGAGACGAAAGAGTATATCCTGTGATGACGGAATAAGCATGGACAAAAAGTACATCTGAATCCTTGAAAAAGAGGAAAAAACTCTAACAGTTGTGAGCTAGTCACAACAGCAGAAGCTATAAAGGACATTGCATCTGGTGCGTGGGGCTGGAGGGGCCCAGGACAGGACACCTCTCTCTTCTGGCCTGGTTACTGTTGACTAGCCACTGACACTTTGTTCCATGCAATGGCTTCTCCGCTTCCTTCCTGCCCATTTTCCCCCGTAGTCCTCCCTGCATAGTGGGAATTCCCGGTTGCCTAACCAGATTCAGCCTTATTAAAGGTCTGCAGGATAATTCAGTGGAACAAAGAACAAACAAACCAAATTCTTAGCTTTTGAAATGCAGCTCTTTCTATGGACTTAGCACCCAAGGTTTTTTTCTGCCATCTGAAATAATTGCAAGGACAAGACGTCATTGTTTTCCAGAGTCCTCATTTATGACGTTAATTAAGGTCATGCAAAGAATTCATGACTTCAGCAAAGAAACAGGAGATAGAAGCCTCAGTCCCTTGTTCATAATTTCAGGTTTGGCAGTCCACAAAACTGTAACTACTCACATTAATGTCTGAGGCACCTTAATTTGTCCACATCACTGAAACCAGTCTGAATGTTGTCTCCTGTTCTAGCTCAGCCATTATTCTTAGTTTACTGCAGACATAAAGTATAGACAGCTGAGCTAGTCACTACAGCCTCTAAATAGTCAATGGAAAGAAACAGACACTTTTAGGGTGCAATTCATCTAATCTATTTTATATATATGCTTTACAATGAGCTGCTTTTGCACTCTAGGCAACTGCATTTAGACACCTGAGAACAACTCAAAGATCTCAAAATGAGATGAGGAAAAAATACAGAAGAAATGAAACAGCAATTGAATTTCTATATAGCCTCAAATGCAGAAGACACACTGTCGTAGAAATAAAAATCTTTGAGTATATGCATATAATATTTCAGATTATGGAAAAAAAAAAGAATGGAGGCCTCATAACGGTCTGCAGATTTCCAGATTAAGTTCCTCCCAACCTGGAAATATGGATTTCCTGCCCAGCATTGTGCTGGAGTATGCAAGTTCATTGTAGCTGAATTTATCAGTTTATGCTAAAGCAAAAGCAAAGGTGTATTTGCTTTTTCTGTCTTATCCAACAGATGAAATTCATTTTAAGACTAGGACTGGAACTGAGTCCACTACTTAAATTTAGGTGGACAGGGCCTCCCTTTAAAGAGCTTCCAAGGACATGTCTCTCCATTTACCGGGTAAGAACATGACATACACTTTAGAAAGATGGCTTCACTGGGTGCATAAATATAAGTTAAAGCATTAATGCAAAGCAGACAGGACTTCCAGTCACAGACATCACATAAGCATGTTTTGAACTGGTGCCATCAGTCATATGATGGGCCTGGGAAAGCACTGGCCCTTGGGGAAAGCACAGGTATCCTACTTCCCTGGGACAACCTGACCCTATCCATGTGTGGCCTCTCCCATATCCCATCAAGGCATGACCTATGAAAACCACTGCAGCCATCACATTTTTTGAGTCATTTACATTTTCGTATAAGCATGTTGCATACAGCATGTCCTAGAAGGCAAACCACACAAATATAATGCAAAGAGACAAGCAATCTGTTGGAGCAGTGCAGCTGTTTTGTGACAATGGTCACTGATAACTCAGGCTCTGTACAAAAGTAGTTCCACAGATCTCTAGAGGATATGTATAAAATGCTTAAGAGGAGGCACTTCCTCCACGTTTCGATGACTCTCAGATCCCTGCTTGACTTTATGAAATCCACGACCTGCCTCAGTTAATTAACTTCCCACATTCCCTGAGGAATTGCTGCTCTCAGGTCCAAGCAGCATGGGTATCTGCCTAGAGAGTAAACACTCCTCCCTTCCCGGGTACTATGCTTCTCCTCCTTTTATCTCGTATTTCCTTCCCCCCACAATGGTTCCTTCTCTTTCTTCTCTTTGTCCCTTTTCTTCCACCTTCTGAGATCCCGCAGAGGGAGGAGAGGCTGAGCGCGAGATCTCTGCACTAATTCCAGCGGGAAACTAGGCAGAGAGAGAACAAGGTCTTAATGGGTCGGATGAGAGAGCTCAGAATGGGAAATAAGACGTAGGGTAGTGCAGGGAGGGCAACAGGGAAGAGAACAGAGACGAAAGGAAAGAGAACCAGAGAGAGAGATTTAGGAAAGGGACAAAGTGAGAGGAAAATTAACTGGAAATGGATCTGAAAGTACTGTGAAGGAAAGACAGAAAGGAAGATAAGTGTTAAATAAGGAACAGAACCTGAGAAAAATATATTAAGGATGTTTCTGCGAGTACTGCATTTTGCCTGATAGGAAACATGGCCCCAAATAACCGAGCAAAAGATGAGGAAAGGCGTGCTGGTTATTCAGTATAATTTTTCAGCGTGAGAGAATAGGTGAGGCATAGTTTCGGGGGGAGGAGTCTGGTGATTGGATGCTTTATGTGGAGTAGGAAAATACACTGACTGTATTTCATGTGTATTTACGATCTTGCTGCTAGATTTTTGAATATTTTTACATATATTAATGTGTGTGATGTGGCTGTGGAGTTCATGGTTTTATACTAAAGGTGTGTATTGACCAAAACATGTAAAAACGTCAATCCTGCTAGAAAAGCAGAGCAGAGAAAGCAGCCTTGTTGTGTCTGTTGAGCACTCTGCAGAGGTGAAAGCAGAAGGTGGCACAGCACTGGCAGCTTAATTGTAATTTGGCTAGGGCTTGTCTACATGTGGAAATTTTCAATACTAGCTTTCCAGATGATAAGTTTGGGCTTAATGTTTTGCACCATGAGTAATTCAGGTTAGTCCATTTTGGATGTAGATTACAATACATCACACAAAGGCAGCAGTAGCAGAGAGCAATTCACTTAGAGTGAGGTGAGGGAAGTGCGTGAGTGAAAAACAACTGTTTTGCTTTAAAAATTCACCCTCAAACTGATTTTATAATAGCTTCCCTGTGTAGAGAAGCCTTTAGTTCCCTTGCAGTGCTGGGAGCCCACATCAGGACTTACGCACTAAGCAAGCCATTGCTATGGAGGCAGAGTCGCATAAAACCTCAAGCAAGCTGTGAGCCTTGCAAGGCACTCCACTCATCTCCAATTTGAGGAAAATATCACAGGGTTATTTCTTTCTTATTTTTTGTTTCAAATGCTTTAATCTGCCCCAGGATCCCCTGCCACTTGCATTTCACAGCATGCCAGGAGGAGGATCCCTGGGCCTTTCTCTTCCATTTTTTTGTGCATCTCCCCACAGCCTCCTTGTGTTGGCTTGGCTGGAAAAAGGTCTGAGTGGGTGTAATAACGGATTGCCGCCCTAAATCACAGAGAGAGCCAAAGCCCTTACCTCTGGGCTGGAGTAATGCGAGGGCTTGCTGCCGTCACTCTCGCTGGAGCTGCTTTCGCTCTCTGAGTCAGACTCTGAGCTGGTCTCGGATTCACTGGAGCTGCTGCTGCTTGACCCCTTGCTGGAGACTCCCGAGGCTCGGGCGTTGGACTGCGGCACCACCAGGCTGCCAGCCCCACACACAGCCCATGGGGGAGGCGGGAGGGAAGAGAAGAAAACAAGAACATAAAAAAACCGACATGTAAAACCCATGGTGTTTTAGGGAGCATACCTATGTGAATGCCTGTGAGCTTGCCTCTGCTGCTAATGAATGGAATTCAACGTTGCATTATTATAATTGGGGGGAAAATATGGGGTTACCCTCATATTCATTTAAATCCATAGCCTTTGCCATCTCTTCTTTGTCTGAGGGAGGGTCAAGTTTTCACTTCAGCTTGTCCCTTTTCTCATTCAACAGACATTTTAGGATATATTAAAAATATCAAACGTTAAAAACCAGAGTATAGAAAGCAGTCTTACACTGTCTAATGAACACTCTGCACAGAGGTGAAAGCAGGAGATGAAAAAAGGTGAACAGTTAAGAAACAGAGTTGAACTCCACAGTGCCAGTCATTTATAAGTAGCAACAGCAATAATGATAATAATAATACATCCTCACCGGAGCTTCTAATCCCTATCTTATGTTCTGCACACTTCTTCACCTACCCATAAATGATGTGGTTACCTGTATATACCATCTTGATATTGACAACTGCAAGATCTAAGACTCTGATCCTGCAAAAACTTGAAGAGCTCAGGCTTGTGTTTTTGCACGTCAGCAGTGCAGTGCTGTCTGCAGAGCTACTTACCTTCTTAAAAGTTATGTTTGCATGCAAGTGTTTGTATTATCAGGCCTGACAGCAGAAGAAATGTATACTTTCCTGAAATAGTTGACCATGCATATTAAAAATATCACGGTCATAAAGACTCGAGTGTGAAATCTTCTATTAAGTCATCCAGCTTATTCCCCAGGCAATGGAAGATTGTTCCCTATAGCAGGGTGCATTTTCTAGTGAGTTGTCCAATTTGATTTTAAATGACTTGAATGCAGCTTTTACTTTTACCCCTGGGAAACTACTCTGCAAACTAACCCAAATTCCACTGTCAGAAATTTCTCCCAACCTGAAGTTGCCCTTTTTAAATTTATTGTTGTTACTTATTATTTCATCCTATTACTAATAGTTACTGTGATAAATTACCCTCCTCCCTTTTTGCTTTCACATATTTGCAGACTATTTTCCTGCCCTACTTCAGTCATCTTTCAGACAAGGCCTTACACATTTACTTCTTCTGATCTTTCTTCATAAGTCATTATCTCCAGAGATATGGGATCATTTTTATGGCTCTTTTCTGAACTCATTCCAATTTGTCTATATCTCTCTGATAACAGGATGCCCAAAACAGAGTGCAGCATTATAGATGGGTTCTCACTAGAGCCCTACAATGAAGGGCTATTACCTTCCTGCTCCTTGATGCGTTGCTTCTGTAAACATATACCCGAGCTGTGATGGAATATATAGTCCATTAACACTCCTACATCTCTTTCAACACTGCTTTCTCCAGAATTCCTCTACTGATAGCTACGTTTTAGATTATTTGCTTCCAGAGAGATTAGCTTGCTTTTTTTCTTCATACCAGATCTCATTTTCTTCTTTACCGCACATGCTTCTATCTCCTTTTGATTTATTTCACTGCCCTTGGAGGTGTCTGCAGCAACTTCTAATTTAGTATCAAACGCAAACTTAATTAAATGGTTATTCACTTCCTTTTCCAGATCATTAATGAGCCTGTTAAATAAACCCCACATGAAACACACCGGTACCCTAATAACCATCTCTTCCCAACACCGTTCACCAGTGTTTATCATTACCCTTGTTTATGCTCCATCAGTCCAATATTGTGGCTAATGCAATGTGATCTTGGAGATGCATTTTGTGAGAAGTAATATCTAATAATTAATTACAGTTCTGCTATGTTGCACCTAATGAATTGTCTTTACCTGCTAATGGTGCATTTCATTCTGGAAAACTGGTACCTGACACCTGACACAAGCCACACATGACAGGCAATTTCTGGGGCTTTGAAAAGAGGCCAGGCCATCAGAGATGCAGTTTCAACTCCACGATTCCCCACGGCTGCACACTTCCTGGCCCTATCCCCGCCTCCCCTAACATATGCCAACCTTTCCCCACTGGACCACCTGTCTTGCACAAGCCAGTGCTCCCATCACATCACCTTTACTAATAGCGTCTTCCTTGCCTTTTGCTAGGAAGTGGTACAGCTGCCCATGGCTTTCTTGCTCCAGAGAGTTTCTGGTTGCTTGAGGAATCGTGCTGCTGTTGGAGACCCTTCTGCACCCTTCAAGGCACAGCGGTGCCAGGCAGTGCAGAAAACCTCACCTGTGATCTCACCTTACTAATTAAAGCAAGTAAAATAAACAAGAGAGGGAGGAGCTGACATCCATTTATATTTCTGACCTTTATTTCCATCCTTGTAACCATCAGGTGGTAGAGAGAGCCAACAGTAAAAGCTCATGCTCCAGCAGGACGGCGCGGTGCTACACGCGTGTTCGCAGAAGTGCCTGCCAGCTCTTGTGAGGCAAGAGGTCTGTCATCATGCATAGGCATTAAATGTACCGATTACAATGAGTGCCTTTAAAAACTCGCCCTCTGCTATTTTTGTTGTTATTCATGATGTCTCTTTGTCTAGCCAGGTAGGTGTGGTAAATACGAGATTTTCAGGCAGCCATTTGTATAACAGCATTAAGGCACAGAGGTGCCTGAAACAGAAACAGCTTATAAGCTTGTAAAAATTTTCCTTCCCGGAGAAGGAAAATAGATGTTTTGTGCACTGCTTTGGGACAATGCAGTTTTCTGCTTGTACAGGTTGCCCAGTAAACTCTAGATATAAGTTGCTCACTTGTATTAACAGATTACAGCCAATCCCTTGCTAATAAAATAGTGAGAGCTATATAAAGGCCATTGTGAGTAGGTTTTCTCGTTTTGATTTTTTTTCTTTTTTTTTTTTCTTAAGGGAATATGAAAAGGTAACTGCCTTTTCTGACAGCGTAGCTTAGGGAATGCTTTTGACAGTGTCCGACTGATGGATTTCCAGTCCTCTCCACAACAGCGTTGTGACTGTTGCCTGAAAAGTTCTTCAACATCACAAAACATCTGCACATTTATGTCCTGCCCCTAGTGACTGTGGTTTTAATTTTTAAACCATCATTTTTGTTTTGCATTGACTGAAGTATTCAGAATTGCTATATAGGGGATGAGGGAGAAAAAAACCCCACAGTAATATTTCTTTCCTGTTGTGACATGAGATGTTTTTCTAGGCTGCTGAATAGAAATTGTTACTACAGCCATAGATATAAAATATAACTGTTGGACTCTTCAAAAACATCTGGAAATTTGTGTTTGCTGCTCTAATGGTAGCCAATATACTACAAAAATTTAACATTACAATATTTTCCCATTTATGCTGATACTGTTGAAGTCTCCTGTCCCCCTTCTACCTTTTCCATTTTTATATACAGCATATTCTTATAAGGATCCTCATTATATTATAGTGACCAGGGTGAAAAGAGTTAAATGTTTCTTCATGCATTCTTATTAAAAAATGACCTTTATTTTAAATTGGTGACTTCCATTTTGGACTGTTCTTTCTAAAGTATGTAAGCAAGATCATGCAGTCAAAATAAAAGACCGATTTACATTTTAATGACAGTGGCACATAACATTCATGCATATTTTGCTACTGGCTTATGCCCCAGAATTAATTACTACATCATAGAAATGATATTTTTATTTTAAGCAATTAAATAACAATTTGGGTAGGAACCACTTTTCTTTAAAGCCCTCGATCAGAACATGCACTCTCTGATTTAAGAGAGAGAGTAAATACTTTGTAAAGTTGCCAGAAGTTCAGTAATAAGATCACTTAATAACCAACACACCATCTGAAGTTTCTGATTAGGTATCTCCCATCATCCTGGCTACATGGGACTGGGGCACCTAAACACCATGCAAGTCTCCAACAACCTATTTTCCTGCACTGCCTAGTGGACAAGTCACCCTTCTCTGAAAAACTGCTAGATACCTTATAGCCTCAATTTTTCTCAGATGTGCAGGTTCAGAAACAGTGATTTGGGGAGGTTAATACTTCTTCCCCACTCAAACTAATTTGTGATCAAAGCCGAGAGGTGGAGCCATCTCAGTCCCTGGAGAAGCCTGAGGGGCTAGTTGTGGTGGGACCAGTTATTAGCTCCATCAGACTGCATGGCCACGGCCAGCCTTTGAACAGCACCAAGGTGTTTAAACACTTGCGCAGGAAGGTGCAGGCGTTTGCTATTCAGTCAGTGGAGAGAGATTCCCAAATCAGATTGCCTCAGTGGCCCTCAGGAGACCTCTTGAGGTTAATCACGCTGGATCTGGGTCCTGCTCTATGCTTCATATTAAGCTGCTGCTTACAGCTGCACTACTTTCCATGATAATAAATCATGGCGTTCAGCACTGGCCACAAGAAGTTCCTGGGCAGCTAAGCATATGCTGCATTGCAGGAATTCAGTCTCAGTGTTTCAAAGACAGACAGCCTGGATGCCCGATCAAGGTACAAGTAAAACAGATGCAGTTCTTTACCAAACTGCAAGTATTTGGTAACAATATTAAATGGATTCAAAAGAGAAAAATCCCTTCTGTGCTGAAGAATTTGTGATCCCAATTCTTCACAGCATTACCATATGAAGGCACTTTATACCTACTTTACACAGGTATGAATGATAATCAGGAATGCAAAGCAAGGGAGAATCAGGCCTTGAAGAAAAGACTGTGCCAAGAAAACGTATCAGAGTGAGCCTCTGAAATACTTTTCCAACCACAACAAAGGCGATGCACATGCTCACGCTTCATATTTTGGAGTCCAGTCGGTCTGTGTAATTTCACTTTGCAAGAATTGTATCCAGAACCTTCTTATCAAAAAGCTCAGTAACACTATCAGACACTATCTGCTGTATTTGTTTTCGTGTCTGGAGATGGGACAATATTTAGACAGTGTCATCTGCATAGCTGTGATCATCTAAGCTATTTTTCTTCTAAATCTCACCCTACAGTACCATCCATCAAGCAC